GCTATTCTGGGTCTCTTACAGTTCCATATCAGTTTGAGGACTCCAACGAGGATATTTTTCTAGTTCTGTGGGGAATGCTGTTGATATTTTTAATAGGATTGCATTAAATCTATATAACAGTTTTGAAAGTATGGTCATTTTGACAATATTGGTTCTGCTTATATGGGAAAAGGGAATATATTTCCATTTAGGGGTGTGGGAGTGGTACCGGGAATTGAACTCAGAACCTTGTGCTTGCCAGGCAAGGCACAGTGGCACTGAGCTACATCCCTGGCCCTCCATTTTCTGATATCTTCTTCAATCTCCTTTTTCCAGAGTACTGTAGTTTTCATTGTAGAGGTCTTTCACTTCCTTGGTTGTGAATTTAATTGACAACCCTATGCATTTAATTTCTCTTGATGCTTGTACATGATATATTTTTTCATAATTTCTTTCTTGGTGAGTTCATTATTGGTGTGCAAGAACATTATTGATTTTTGTGTGTTGATTTTGTATTCTGCTACATTGTTAAATGCCATTATTAATTCTAGGAGTTTTTTGGGTGGAATTTCTTGGGTCTTCTATGTAAAGGATCATGTCATCATGTTATTAGTACTGTATTGAACAGATGTGGTGATTGTGAATATGTTCATCTTTTTCTGAATTTTTAGAGGAAAAACTTCCAGCTTTTGCCCATTTAATATGATGTTGGCAGTACATTTGTCATAAGTGGCTTTTATCAGATTGAGATAAGGTCCTGATATACTTGTTTTTTTCAGGGTTTTTATCATGAGTGGATATTGTGTTTTGTCCTTGCTTCTGTTTATGTGGGATATTACATTATGGAATGAAGCCTACTTAATCATGTTGTATGACCTTTTTGCTGATTTGTTGTTTTCTGTTTGCTAGTATTTTGTTGAAGTTTTTTGCATTTATGTTCATTAAGGAGATTGGCCTGTAGTTTTCTCTTTCAGTTGAAGCCTTATTCTGGTTTTGGAATCAGGGTAATACTATCTTCTAGGAATGACTTGGAAGTACATCTTTCCCTTTTGATTTCATTAAAGAGTTTGAGGAGTATGGCATTTAATCTTCTCTGAAGTTCTGGTAGAATTCAGCAGTGAATCCATTAAGTTCTCAGCTTTTCTTTTTTGTAGGTTTTTAATTATTGCTTCAGTGTTATTACCTGCTATTGGATTATTATTATTTTTTTTTAGTATCTTCTTGGTTCTGTTTTGTTAATTCACATGTTTCTAGGAATCTATCCATTTCTTCTGCATTCTCTTAATTTATTGGAGTCCAGGTTTTCAAAGTAATTACTAATAATCTGGATTTATGTGGAGTCTGTTGTGTTTTTGTTTTTGTTTTGGTAACGAGATCGAACTCAGGTCCTTGCACTGTGGAGTCTGTTGTGATTTCACCTTCTTCATTTCTTTTTCCTTTTTTGGGCAATATTGGTTAAGGGTTTCTATTTTATTTATGCTTTCAAAGAACCAGCTCTTTGGTTCATTGATTCTTTGTATTTTTTTTTCAGTCTCAAATTCATTAATTTCTGCTCTGATTCTTATACTTTCCTTCCTTGTACTAGGTTTGGATTTGGATTGTTCTTATTTTAATAGCACCTTGAGATGCATCATTAGGTTATTTATTTGAGCCCTCTCTGTTTTTCTGATGTGGGCATTCATAGCTATAAAGTTCCTTCTTCAGATTGCTTTCATTGTGTTCCTTAATTCTGGTATGTTGTATTGGCATTATTGTTTGATTCTTGGAATTGTCTAATTTCTTGATTTTTTTCTATAACTCATTTATTATTTAAGTGAGTATTGTACAATTTCCATGCAATTGTATAATTTTTGTGGGTTTTTTGATATTGATTTCTAGTTTCATTGCATTATGACCTGATAATATGCATGGGATAATTTTTATTCTTTTGCTTTTACTCAAGTATGTTTTATGGGCTAGCATGTGGTCTATTTTGGAGAAAGTTTTATATGCTGCTGAGAAGAATGTGTATTCCATTGTTGTTTTGTTTTTGGTACCAGGGATTGAACTTGGGTCCTTGTGCTTGTGCAGCAGGCAGGGGAAACCACTGAGCTAAATCCCTGACCCTGTATTCCACTGTTGTTGAGTAAAACATTCTGTAGATTATTAAATCCTTTTGTTCAAAGGTGTGGTTCAAGTCTGATATTTCTTTGTTGTTTTTTTTGTGTAGTTGATCTGTTTGTTTGTTTGTTTTTGGTATCGGGGATTGAACTCCGGACTTTGCGCTTTCGAGGGAGGCGCCAGAACCACTGAGCTAAATCCTCGGCCCAAGTTGATCTATTTGTGATAGTAAGGTATTGAGGTCCCCACTATAACTGTGTTGATGTTTATCTGATCTTTTTTTGTTTTATTAAGTTGTGTGCATTTGTGCTCAGTGCACATATATTTATAATTGTTCTTTCTTCTTATTGCATTGTTCCTTTAACCAATAAATACATCCATTAATTTGGAAATGAAAGTGCACAGTAATTGGCCTAGTACCCAATTGTCTGGAAGTGAACTTCAGTATTGTTGATAACAAAGACAAACCAGACTTTGGTATACAGTCAAAACTACTAATTAGCAACAACTATGCCACCCAGGCAATAGCAATAAGCTTAGCAACAGTTATTAATAGAGTCAAAGACAAACTGGATATTGACATACCATAAGAACCAATAAAAGCTACCACTGTACCATCCTTAACAATAGAAAAAACATCTATAATTACGATATAGATACAAAACCATAATATGATACAGTAACTGTTATTTATCTCCATCTATAAAGACTGTGAATTTAAACTAACAAGCAATAGCTCTGTTGAACACCAATGTTCATTCCAATTCTCTCTCTTTCCATCTTTGTACTTCCCTTCTTCAAGAGAAACCTGGTTCCCACTGTTTTAATAAATTTACTTATTTGCTTTATTCCTTTTACAAAATGTATTTTGAGAGACTGTAGAATATATTTTGTTAATTTTCCAACAACTAGAAGTTAAGTTATCTTGCAAAAGGGATCACTTCCCCTTTTAAATTATTGCAAATGACTGCATAAACTTGGAGTGGCATTGGGTCTGCTTCAAGAGGAATGTTCTGAATATGCAGAAGGAAAGCTGCCAGACTATTAGGGGCCCAGCATTTGTTCTTCCTATGTACTTAAAATCCGAGTCACAGAAAGCAATAATAATGATTATAGTTTGCATTGGCAGTACATCTTAAGGTGCTTTTACATACTGTACTTACCTTACTTGTTCCTAACTATGATTCTGTCAGGTAGTCAGCAGTTGTTTATTAACCCCATTATAGCAGGACGAATGATGGCCTTCTGAATGATATCCAGGTCATACTGCCTGGAACCTGTGACTATTACTTTCTATGCCAAGAAAGGACTTTACAGATGTGACTGAATTAAGGATATTCAGGCTGGGATACCATACTAGACTCCAGTGACCCTAAATAGAACCACATGCATCCCTATCAGACGGCAGCAGAAGGAGATTTGACACAGACAGAAAAGAAGGAACAATGCAGCCCCGGATGCAGAGATAGAGTGAAGCAATTACACATAAAGAATGACAGCAGCCACCAGGAGCTGGGAAAGGCAAGGAACAGATCCTCTCCTAAAGCTTCCAGAGGTAGTGTGGCCCTGCTGACACTTTGAATTGGATCTAGTGATAATGAGTTTGGACTTGTGCCACTTCAGATAATAAATTTCTATTTTTAAAGTCACCATGTTTGCAGCAGTTTGTTATGGTAGCTGTAGGAAACTAACACATATCCAATTTTTATAGATGGGGAACCTGAAACTCAAGAGGATAATGATTTGCCTAAGAGCACACAGCTAACATGTAGTAGGGCTAGAATTTGAGTACAGATCTATATACTTTAAATCCAATACTCATTCATGGAGGCTACCGCTTCTCTCTTACTGACCATTCCTTTTCACTGGGACAGAGAGGAGAAAGAGCAAGACAGTACTCATTAGAAGTACTAGGGGAACTTTTACAAAATACTACCATAGGTCCCCCACCACAGACAATTAAAATTTTATAT